ATATATATATAAACCTCTTTTTTGGCCTGCCAGCAGCAGCAGCCGATCGATAAATCCCAATTTCCATACATCAGCCAATTCCAAATTAACGTCAACTCATATCACAAAGGAGTGGATATACTTACACTCCTCACATACACACATACATATTGCAATGTGCACACACATATAAAAATAAATATGCAAATCCATCCATATATACAGTTACAACTAACATGGCCAATATTGTGATTAAAATTATTTAAACTTCATTTTAATCGAGTCTAAATTTACTTTGATTAGCTATTGGACGAGGGACTTGAGAAGGGAAAGCCAAATATTTATTATGGACGTGTGCCTTGAAAAGGGGAAGCCAAATATTTATTGCCACGATTAAAAATAGCTTCTATCATTTAAATAGGAAATGCCCAAATTGATTCAGCTAAGTAATTAGTTTGTTTATATATTCCTTGGAACAATAGAATCTGATTAAGAAATCAGATTTGATATCTAAATCTGTTTATATATCAGAGAACAATAATATGCAGAAGTGGGTTAGCTTGGTTCTATATGAAAGTAATTATAGTGCGCTTATTATATATAGTTATAGATAATGGCTAATAGATATAATAGATATCGAATAGATATGCGCATGCTCGGACAGGCTTTTGCGCGATTGCAATTAGACTCCAATTGGATTATGAGTTATCCAGCTCATATTGCTATAGCCTGCAGTAAATGTCCTGAATTACGCATATATTTGCTGTTTTTATCAATCTAGTCGTCACACACTCACACTAATGCCCTCTCGTAATGTCTTCCTATTAGGGAATTACTTAAACGTTTTGCTCGTACATAAATGTCAATTCTTAATATTATATTATGACACAAAAACCAAGTTCTTAATATTTGAAGTCAGCTTCTAAATTTCAGCAAGAATAGGAAAAACCGTCAAATAAAAGATTTTCCTGAAATCCTTGTACTCAACACTGATTTCAGCCTTTTCACGCCAGATCTGTCATTTTTTAGGTGCGATTGCGGGAGGAGTTCGAAAAAAGCGCGAAGTGTGCAAAATTACTAAATTACTCACAAAATTCAAGAATATTATTATATAATTAAAGAATATTAAGCAAAATAAAGGTCAACAAATTCACAAATTCCCATTTACATTAAGCATATAATAATGTGCTCAGGTTAAGATTTTTTATACCTTTCTAGCTAGATCTAGATTCTCATGTTCTGTAAAAAAAAAATTACAACACTTGTACCAATAAATTCTATTCTATTCTCTAAATTCTATTAACGTCTTGGAACTTGTGCTTAAAAAAATAAAAATCAATATTTATGGATAATAAGAGCGCTAAGATCAAGGAAGACTGAGTGTTTAATAATATAATATAATATGATGTTATTTATAATTGCGGAATACAATGTGAAGTAGATTTCTAACCAATAAATCAATTGATTTTTCAATGAATTTTTATGGAAAGACAATTGAAGATAGTCAGATCAAGACAGTTTATCATATGGATCAAAAGTATATATACTTGAGAGCGTGAATCACACCTTCACTTGCCAAATAGCAATGGATTAAGGGTATAGAAAAATTCATATAAAATAAACTTACTAAATCTAGTATAAATATATAATATACAGAATGGTAAGTGTATACATAATACATATGATAAATGTATACATTATAGCTGCACACAGATTAACTTAACATCAACTTTTCATATTCAACTGCTGTGCGCGTGCCTTCCTATGCGCTTCTCACAATGCGCAAATTGGCTTTAAATGTTTACACTTTGAGATCTTGGCAGAAACGATGAATAAATTATGGCAATTAGTAGGTAATACCAACATGCCATAACTCAAATCAAATGAATGCCTTACTATATAATCGTCGTCGTCTGGTATTTATGCTAGAGGAATGTTTAGATCGACGCGGATTGGGAGTCTGGTTCGCTGCTTGTTTGGCTGGGACTGAGGCAAACAAAATGCAAACCACTTAATCGAAAATAATTGTAAACAGCCCACGGAGAAACAACAGAGCACCTGGGTGTAGCCCGTGCGGGCAATGTGAATCCTGTGAATAACTGGATGTTATGATTTATAATGGAATCGTTTGAAAATAACAATGCCATATAAATATAGACAAAGGTAAGCCTTCCCTCTCTATATACATATATGTGTATGTATATTTATATATGTGTGTGTGTGTGTGTGCAACAAAAATGCAAAGGTAAACAAACGTAATCGGAGGATTTGGGTCGGGGGAGGGTGTTTTACAGGTACAGGTAATACAGCCAGATGCTGAGTGGGGCCAATTCTAATGGAAATTTAAGCGTTTTGCAGCAGCGATGGCGGCCTGCATTTACCGTTAATTGAATGAGTGTGGGTGATGAAAAGCAGACACCAACAACAAAAAATTTAAATACAAAAAAAAAAAAAAAAACAAGCATTTGCCTCTGCCTCCGGCAATCGCTTTGATCGGCTCAGCCGCTGGGCGCAGCGCCCGTAGCTGGCCAACTCGCTAATGCTAATGGCTAACAGACGCCATTTTGTTCGAGCTCTGCTTGTTCTCCTTCTTTTTCGTTTTCTTGTTCTTTTATAAACCAAAATGTGAATGCCCCGCTGTAGCCGCCGGTGTGCGTCGAATACGGATCATCTAGGGCCGCTCTTTACGGTTTATTTAGTGTCGAGGTTATGGCGCAATTTGTATTTATGGCTTCGACTATAGCCACAGCAGCAGCACCACCACCACCACCATCAGCACCGCCACCATGTGGTAGCAGTCCAATTAAAAGCATTTGCCAAATGAGGGCCCTGGGAAGCCAGTTGCCATGCAGTGAGTCAGCACGCCCACTCGCAGCCCGTGAGACGTTTGGAGCATCGTGCTCGACCAGTTAAGAGACGCCGGAGGCGTGGTCTCTCGCGCCGTGAAAGATCACGGAACGTGCGCATTGGGCTAGAGTGAAACTAAAGAGAGGCAGCACACATATATCGTATGTGGGGAGTGTACAGTGTGCACCGGCTGTAACGAACGAACCGAGAAGTACACCAAAAATTAGGCTGAACAGAAAGCTGGACGGCATTGGTCGATAATCGAGCTAGATCTATCTGGCTATATTATAATTTGAGCTATTTGCATATATGTACTTGCAATTTTTTTAGTATTTAAATATAAATAAATAAATATACATAAACTTAAATTTTCTTATATGTATATATTATTGTTTTAATTTTTTTTTTTTTTTCACTCCTTTATTCAATTATCTCTTAATTTCTTTGTTCATTATACGCATTCACGAAAGTGAATTAGTATATTGGGTTTGTTTTTGGTTTTATTTTAGTTTTAGCAGCCAACAAATTGTGTCTAGTAGCTGTTTCACAGTATTCACTGTAGCTGTTGCCTTACATATCCACGATACGCTACATCATATATGTTGAGCATATGCATTCAGTGAGTTTTACCCAAACCAAAAGTTAAAAGATTTTACAGACTCTCGTTGTAATTGAAAAGCCTACATTAAATAGAAGATGATATGCTTAGCTTGCATAATCTCTTATTCGACAATTTTTTGCTGAACTTTATAAAATTTTATTTATATGCTACATATATTACAAAGCTAGCTCTTATAGATTTGATCAAATATGCAACTTAAGGTATTTCATATATGAGGGTTTTTCATAAAATTCATTAGGTTTTTCATGTAGGGTATATCATATGTCGGGTTTTACTTACAAACAACCATATGTATATAGGATATTTAGTATAAGATTACCCAAGTATTACATATAAAAATATTCCATATAAAATATGACGAAATATGTGTCATATAGGGTATACTATGTACTTAAAAGGTAATCCATATGGGGTATAACATTAGAGTGTACCACATATTGGCTATGGGTATACCATTTGCTCTGTATAGATAATTCATTTACATAAAACCTACCATCTACACATGAGTATACACAAAGTGTATTTCAAATAAGATATTCTATATTCGTATTCAATTGGGAACATGATATACATATATAGGGTGTGCTACACATGCACAAAGGATATATCATATAGGGTATAAGTGTAAAAGCCATTTCGTACAGGGTATATTACATATATAACTAAGGGTATTTCATGTAGGGTACTTCGTATAGGGTATATCATGTGCTTTACCCATTTGATAAGACTCCTCATATAGAGTATTCCACAAACAGTCTCCCACAGTCGTCAATTTGATATTAGTTCTCTATTGTAGCGGCTCTACCGTTCGTCAAATAGAGTATAATACCAAGAGTCTCCCACAGTCGTCAATTTGATATTAGTTCTCTAT